TACTAAAGTACTAAAGAACGATGTATAATATTATTATTAGTTATTACTTAACAAACTAAAATGTAACAACTGTGCATGTCTGTACCTGCTATCAGTGCTATCTACGTCTGGTCACGATGCGACAATGTGTTTTATACTCTTATTTTATCATTTTTAACTTATTGATTGTCTACTGGCTACTACCTAGTATTTCCTATGTATATGGCGAATGGCGATTACCTACTATACCTATTTATATTTTATTAAAAAAGTKTTGTGTTTTTGTAAAATTTTTCATAGTTTTTCAATAAAATATCCACATTTAACAATTTCGAGTGGCGTGGAGGGAGGAAATATGTTTTTTTCTTTAAATTATTTGTTTGATAATTTATAGTGACACGATGAMAACAAAAATCAATCACATAGATTTAGATTATCGTGCAGCAGTGAGCAGAGTGATGAGCATATTAGTTTTGCAATATATATATTGGTCACTTTTATTAGAATCCGTAAAAATACTAAAAATGCTTCAATCATATCAATAATGATTGTTTCTACTACAAAATTTTGGTAAAAAATGAAAAATTACGAGTACATTTTAAAATAATTGGGAAAAACTATAACAAAAATCGCGAATGCATGGGAATATTTGCGTAACATAGGTTTTTGGCAACGTATATTTTTTTTTTTATGTACTTAATTCATAAAGAAAAAACCCAATGATCTGAAATGTTCAACTATTTAAATATATGAAATATGATACTAATAACTTTTAAACAATTCGCCTCATATTTTTTCTACACATATAAAATTGTCTATTTTTGTTTTTTATTTWCTGAACTCAGCRTTGAATGTATTGATTTTACAATGAGGTGTGTGTTTTTTTTGTCAGTACACGATAAGTAGGTAATTGAAATAATGCTTCGATTTCCAACTTCAGTAACTTTTCTGGAGGGAAAGTGGATTTAATTTGTGCATTCAGAAATTTAAAATTCTTATTTCTTAGTAACTTTCAAAAGCGTTGGGATAAACAAAAAAAATAAAAATAAAATGTATTTATACAGACTTTGAAATTTTGAAATTTTTTTTCGTTTTTTTTCTATGATAAATCCCAATCAATTTTGAGTCAGAATGCTTGAAAATGTAATATAAGGTTTCTCATAAGTAGCGTCATATACGCTGATTACAGACGTAACACAAAAATTGAACAAATAATAAATTAAGAGCACTTTATTAATTATTTAGACACTGGCATCCAGTTACACGGCCATCACACTCTGACTTTGACCTTGGTGGCCAGCGGTAATCTAGTCACACGGACACGATCACCACCAAATGACCCCTTTTCGGTATTAACACATCGTTTATATATTAGTCTTAGAATCGAATGCTATCGACTAATATCGATATTTGTTTTAACTTAGTTACATTTTGCTTATGATTACATTATAATTAATTGTTATTTTATTACCTAATTGTTGTCTTAACCTAGTTGTATGTTTTCATATGTTTGTGGAATGTACAATGTACATTGTTTTGGTTT